AAAAAAAAAAAAAAGACTGAGCCCCCTCCCCCCCATGTGAGGTGTCTGGTAGGGGCCTTTGAAAATGCCTCTGCACTTGTAGCACCTCTCTTTTTCAAATGCGGGCCCCAAATAAAACCATCCTAACGATTCAAAATCTCATTATTAGTGACCATAATTAAGTTTAAATCCACTCATTTCAACAAAACTTTAGGTAAATATGCTTATGATGAAGAGAAAGTTAAATCCACGTGTTACAAGCTTACACGGCATATTTCACGTACGATCAATATTCGACGCATTCGACTAAACTATCGTTTTAAATTTAATAAGTTATTATTATTTTAGTAAAATTAGTTGGTGAACAACACTGAGGAATTGGACCAGTGTTGGTTTGTTGTGTTCTAACGACAACAAAACAACAAAAAATATGAATAAAATTATTTTAACTGTAAAAATTTTGTAACGACCCGGGTCCCACTTAACGGGCTGTTCTGACCGTTAGATCGACGACGTACTGTCCTCACTGTACCAACATGGATCTTTTCAGCATGTTTTGTCCTCACTCGCACGCTCCCCGAGTAAACTTCCCAGGGGGGTCACCCATCATAAATTGCTTAACTGTGGAGTTTTCAACGATGGACTTCCGGAAAAGAAGGTGTACCTTGTTGGTATGAGTAATACCTATCAAATCTCTTAAACTTTCTTGGTTTGGGGTATTACAAATTTCATATTCACTTATGATTTGATATGGTTGACTAGATAATGATATTGAGGGAGGCTTGTTTTATTGCTAATTCTTCAAAAGAAAATTGAATATAAGATATCGTCCACAAGTAAATATTAGTTTAAAATTAAAAAAAAAAAACAACAAACACAATGTTATATCCATAATATTTATATTGTAATCAAATAATGAGATCGAAAATGTGCCAAACGATCATAAATACTATTGGTCTTGGAGCTTACATTATAACCAAACAGTAAGAACACAAATTTTATCAATATTTTGATCATTTTCACAAGTCATGTTGAAGAAAAATAAAAGTAATCAATTTTAAGTTAATAGTACGCAAAATAGAATAAAGTATGGAATAAAAAAATTAAAAACATATTATTTTTTTAAAAAAATAAAGTTTTGATTAAATAAAAGATTGAGTGACCTGATCAGAAAATTGTGATGCAAATAAACAAAAAATAATGTTCAGTTAAAAATTTAAGGTAGCCTAGCACAAATCATAACAAAGCAACACAACTAACAATAAAATATAGCAAATAATTACCAAAAATAATAAAATTGAATAAATTGGCGTGGAAATTGAGTCAAAATTCTAGAAAACGGTTAGTAAAAGGAAAAGAAATTGTATGATTTTGAATTAAAATCTAAATTTAATTGTACCTCAATTGTGATGGGGGACCGATGAATATGATTTAAGGTAGTTGTTCAGTACTTCAGCCAATTTGAGAGTTTTGCGTTCATAATCGTGATAACGATGGGTAATTGAGTATTATTTAATTAATTAATTGTGAAATATAAATTCCTAATTGGATACGTATTTTTAATTGTGATATGTTTAATTTTTCTTGGATGGGATACATCTAAATTAATTTATTTTCTAATTTTTTCGTAAGCGCTTTGATAGTTTGAAACGATTTGTAAAAATTGAAACCTAAACCAAATTACTTGAAGCGGTTTGACTCGATTCAAAATTAAAATGTTGAAGGATCCAATAAAATAGATTTTGAGAAAAATGATTTTTTAGGAAAATGTGTAGCTAAAATAGTAAAAAAAATAAATCACAACAATACACGTGGCGTCCATGCTGGAAAAGAAACAGTAGTCCCAGATTGTGGGATCTTTTGACACGTGGAAATATATGGTGGTGGTAAATAATTTGGGGAAATATAAGGAGAAAACTGAAAAGGTTGAACTTTGGTCAGTACGGGCAGGGGCCGCCCTTAAATTATTGTAAATATATAACAATATAGCTTCATATTAATTCAGAAATATATACACACTCCCTCCTCTCTCGTTGGAGTATAAGAAAGAGCAAAACATGCATTGCTGAGTTTTAGAGAGAGAAACCAATAAACTAGCCAACGCCACGAGCATCTTTTAGAGAGAGGGAGACAAAAGATTTTGTGTTTTGATTTGTGATTTTTAAGGAGAATGGAATGGCCAGATGAATACGAGAAACTTCTCTTTCGAATGTCTACTCCAAGGTTTGTGTGTGTTCTTGTTTTCTTCAGAATTTTTAAGAATTGATTTTGTTATAATTTGTCTGTCTTGTAAATTAAATGGGTTTCACTGAAAATAATTTTTTTTCATGAATCTGCTGAATTTTTTACTGTTCTATTGCAATCACATTCTGGAATCTGGGCCGCAATTTTCTTCCTCAAGCAATCATAGTAATTTTATTGATTTTTTTATAAATATTTTTCATCGTTCTTTTTCACGTTTCGCAGATATATCATATTATCCTGTCTGATTTGATAATCATTCCGAGATTTTTTGGCCAATATATTTGGAAAATCTGTTAATCCATTTAATTTTTCACCTCAATTGAAATTAACTTATCAATTAATCACGCTGATTTTTTTTCCTTTAATGTAAACTTATTTGAATACTCTAAAGCCAAATTTGCCCTTAAAAACGGGCGAGTGCTCAATGTGCTTATAAGCTCATTCCATAAAAAAAGTCAAATTCCTTTCATTTATATCGTAGTGCAACTTATATAATCTATTGTAAGTGACGATTCCTCTGTTAAAATTTTCATTTTCAGTGTAGTGATTGATAATACGGGCTGTGCCAACGCCACTCGGGTCATGGTATGCAACCTTTCTAAGATCGTGCTTAAAAACAGCTTTTTTTTTTATCCTATGGGTTTGAATATGGCTCAGAAAGGCAAATGAAATGTGCTTTTAATCGAGTCTTAATTTTGATCAACTTTTTGTTAATGTTTACATAGATTGACAGTGCTAGAAAACATGGAATTCTTCTTGAAGCAGTTCAAGTTCTCACTGATATGAATCTCTCTATCAAGAAGGCCTACATTTCCTCTGATGGACGATGGTTCATGGACGGTAAGTGCAATTAGTCAACCTTTTGTTATCGAACGCCGCCACAGCCCACATTAGTAGCTGTTTATTGACATTCATTTTAGATTAACGAGCTTTATTTTATTTTCGTTTAAGGCATTTCATTTCTTTATTTCTGCAGTTTTTCATGTGACTGATATAAATGGAGAAAAAATAACTGATGAGAGTTTCCTCAAATGTATTGAAAAGGTAGTTATTACTTATTACTCTTTCGACTTGCTTAAAAGCAAGTAGTCAAACTTAAGAAGTTACTTATTTTAAGCGCATAAAAAATGTAGTGTAAATTCTATCCGAAAACACATTTACTTTTAGTCTTTATTTGGATTCATGTACTGGACTAATTTAAATTTGAACAAATTTTAATTCTTGGATGTATGAATGCAGTCACTTGGGACAATTCATTACGGAAAACTGAAATGTATTGAGGGCCTAACTGCAATAGAATTAACTGGTACTGATAGGGTTGGCCTTTTATCCGAGATTTTCGCAGTTCTTTCGAATTTCGAATGCAATGTGGTAGAAGCTAATGTTTGGACACACAATGGTCGAGTTGCATCCTTAATTTATATTAGGGATATCGATTCTGGTTCTTTGATTGAGGACTCAAATAAAGTTGATGGAATGGAAGACTACAATTCTTTACATGAATTTCCCTATATTGATATTCGAAGTGCTAGAACATTGGTTTCGATGGCTGTTACGCATACAGAAAGACGGCTTCATCAGATGATGTTTGCTGATGGCGATTATGAGAGGAAGCCGATTATCAAGCCGAGTGGTGATCGTCCAGTTGTTGAAGTACAGGATTCTTTGGAAAAGGGTTATTCCGTCGTACATGTTCAGTGTAAGGATCGGACAAAGCTTTTGTTTGATGTTGTTTGCGCGTTGACAGACATGCAATATGTTGTGTTCCATGCCACTGTGAACACTTCGGAACGCAGAGCATCATTGGTATATGTTCTGCTCTTTTTTTTTTTTTTTTGTACAAATAATTCTGTTTAATGTTCGTTAGTGACTTCACTTGAGAATTGACATCCCGACTATCAACCCTGAGTTTGTGCTCGGGTTCTGTCGATTATATAATTTGCTATAAATTTTTCTTCAGGAATTCTTCATTAGGAATACAGATGGAACCCCAATTACTTCAGAAGCAGAAAAACAACACGTGATTCTATGCTTACGAGGTGCAATTGAGAGACGAGCATATCAGGTGCCGTCCTCCTGCCTTGGCATGTTGTGAAAAAACTCTTTTGAGTCTAACATTTCACGTGTTTTCTTTGTAGTTTTGTTAGTCTAACAGAATTCTCTTTTTCTGATAGCAGGGTGTAAGGCTCGAGCTACGTACGGCTGATCGACAAGGCTTATTGGCGGACATAATGTGCACCTTTCGTGAAAATGGCCTTAATGTGACTCGAGCTGAGATATCCACAACAACGAGTGAGGCACTAAACGTATTCTACGTAACAGATCCATTTGGGAATCCATGTGATTCAGAGGTCATTGAGTTTGTTCGACATACGATTGGCTTGAATGAATTGAAAGTGGAGGAATTGCCCTCGATCTATCACCACAGAGGAGACAAGCCCACATTGAGTGCTACGGCATCACTCGGGAGCATTGTGAGAAAAAATCTTTATAACTTGGGGTTGATCAATTCACATTCTTGAAAGAACACACGAGTTACTTTGACTCACACATCATTACTCAATGCAAAGACGATCTAGTTATTTTTAAGTTTTGGAACTTTTGGCATTTGTACATATCAATTATGCTATATAAATAGTCTCAAAAACAAGTTTCAAAATTGGAGGACACTTGTCGACACGTGATTAGACAGTTTGAAAAATAAAAATAAAAAAACACTCAAATGGGTGTTGCCAAATCAATCTGTTCATCATTTCCTTATCTTTTAGCCCGTTCAATTATCATTATTCTTGTACATACACTAATTATGGTCCCCACCCCCACTATCCAGCAGACATTTTTGTACAACTCTAGTCCTTTTCCAAGTATTATTAGTACTATGATGCAGTTTTTGTCTTGGTTTTGTCAACAAAATCTCCCAGATTTTCCTCTGTATTTTGATTATTTTCTTTGAAGCATTAATAAAGCTGGAAAAAGTATAATGTCAAAATCAAAATGACAGTGTCCCAACTACACACAGAATAGCAAAAACTTGCTTTTCTTATTTTTAGCATGCGTTTGGTAATAATTTTCATTCAAATTGTAGACAAATTATAGACGTTATACAGTTCCATTGACAGGGTATGCAATACAAGTGGCAGGGACGAGGACAAACTTTTTTGACCAAACAAGGACTAAAATGACCAATGAGCCCTTATTCAAAATGCATTATTAACTACAGTAAGGGCAGCCCGTAAGTGGCAGAGAGGGGGACAAACTTTTTTGACCAAATAGGGACTAAAATGACCAACGAGCCCTTATTCAAAATGCATTATGAACTACAGTAAGGGCAGCCCGATAAATTGGAATTCCTGTAGTTAGTGCATAATCACAGGCGGGTCCCACTGATTTGAGAGGAAAAATGTATTTTTATGGTAAAAATGGTTACCAAACACATGCTTAAGTAGAAAAATTACTTTTCTCAAAAGTAATTATTATTTTACTTCAAAATAAGCAATTTGTTTATTTTTAACTTTTCATCAATTAAAAATTCTTTATTTGAATAGTTTTGTTTGTGCCTATTAGAGATGGCAGCAACGAGGGGGTCCCGCAGGGTTCGAGGCGAGGCATGGGCGGGTGTGGGGCGCGGGCCTACCTCGTTTCCCGCCCCCCTTTTTTTCCAAAATTTTCAATTAAAATATAAATTCAAATTTAAAAATCCAAAGCAAATAATGTTCAAACTATCTTCACAACTTCATTTATCAGTAGAACTAGAGATGAGATGGAGATAGTATGAAGATATGAGGTTTAGACTTTAAGATTGCCCGCCGTTGCGTTTTTTGTAATTTGTAGCTAATTAGTTTTTTTTTTTATGCTTCATGGGGCGGGGCATCTCTACCCCGCCCCGCCTTGCCAACCTGTCTTGGTGGGACGGATTTTTTTTGCCATCACTAGTACTTATAAGTCAACTGTTTTAGCTTAGTTAAACACACTCTAATTATGTAGATATTGAACTAAATTGATTGGGGAAAAAAGAATCATATTTGCACTAATTAAAAATAAGAATACAGTATATCAAAAATGATCTCCTACCCATGGTGGGTAGGAGTTATCTTGCCCATCCCTGATGTGGACTTAAAATTTTTGGCAATTCAACGTTTAATTGTAAAAAAATGTAGGCTTAACCACTGTCGCATCAGCGATGTGTACAATTGTAAAAAAATTGTAAGCTTAACCACTATCACATCAGCGATGTACATATTTTATCTTAGCCATCATGAGTATGAGATCATTTCTATTTAGTATAATAGTTGAATATAAATCAAGAATACTACATATCGTACATAAGAAAAATCGTAAATACTGTTTTCCAAAATTAACTAGCAAATTCAGCATGTAACGGAAATTCAAGACAAAGCACTCATCACGTTGATTAATTAACTCAATAACATTAGTCAATTCTTTAAAAAAAAGTCGAATATTTCATGTAGAACTCTGCATAAGATTTCCTGGTTGTGTGTGAATTTCGGATTGGTAAAGCATGCATTGAGATTATATCTATCTGCCAATTGAATCAAATGACACATAAGAGCTGTGCAATTGGTAATGTATATTTTCATTTCAGACAAACATGGCAAAATTTGAAAAATTCTAATTCGGACATGTTAGATATAAACAACCCAATTCCACTACTCGAACAGGCTTAAATACAGACTGATGTGACATTTGCAAATTAAAAAAAGGGAGAGGGAGCGTTTCAAAGAATTTAAAAGACAAGCAGTAGATATCATTCTTCCACAACCTTCTCTCTCCGAAAACAGCTAAAAGCCCCAATATCAAACCCTACATCTCCGGTGTTGCCACGACGTACTTTCACCGAAGGTATCACTGTTGCACGACCAACCATCTCCAGTTGTCGCGCCGCACTTCGCCAAAGGTTTCACCTTCGTACGACCCACAATATCCGGTTGTCATAAAAAAACTGAACATCGCAAGCAAGTGCACCTATTGAACCCGTGTCCTCAGGTAGAAATTTTTATACTTCGTTAGTTCTGACTTCCATCGAGGGAGTTGATATGGGGTCTTCCAAAGGTTTCATCGTTGCACTTTTGCTTAGCTTATCCGACTTGAGCATTGGCATTAATTCTAATTTGTATATTGTAATGAATTGGTAAATAACTGACTGCATATTTGTTGTTGGTGTTTTATTCACATCGTAGAATGCCTGGAATAAACTCTGGAATTTGACATGGTTGTATAGCTAAAAACCATTTCTTTTCCAATTGCAAAAGAAAACACCCTACACTTGATATAAGCATGTATTTGAGAAATGCTTTGTTGTGGAGAAGGATAATGATAATAAAGGAAAATTATTCATTTGCTGTAGTCGAAATTGTGGATTTTGGGAGTATGTTGTCAAAGAAGAAATAAGAGGTGATTCTAGTCGCGATAACACTACCATCCTTAACACCTTGATGAACGACACTGATGAAGAAATGTCATGTATGTTACAATCTAATGTTCAGATGAGTGACAAAGAAGAGCTCCAAATTTCGGTGTACACAAAGGGAATCATCAAACTTGATTATAAGATAGTGATCAAAGCATTTGAGAAATGTTTCTAGGCGTATGACTAATATGGAGCAAAACCTTATCGTAATGTCATGACCTGCTTATCACATTTGAGAAGAAATGATATTTACAACTTTTGAATTAACAGAGGATAGTGAATGGTGCCTAACATACTCACATCTTTACAACACCATTAAGAAATAACCATTGGTCTAACAACCCTTGAAATCATCTAGGGTTATAGTGGAACCTTGATGATCACATTTTGATTCACTGAAAAAAGGAAAATAACACAATGCAAAAACAATTCAATGTAACAATGTGTGATCTCTTAGTTTTTTCTTAAATGGACATAGTCAGATTGTGCAAAATTGATGTTCAAAAATGAAAACAGTTGAACAAACACAATGCAAAAACAAACTGAAAAAAAGGAAAATAACAGCCACAATCCTAACATCACACGTCTCTACTACCTTCATCAAATAAGTTTTGATAGTAGTATGGCAATTCTTGACCTACAATAAATACCATATGAAATAGTAAATGATGAATTCATGAAAAAAAAATGACGTTTAAATTAATATATCAACACATGCTTATACCTTTTGAACTGTACATAACATTTTCCCCTGGCAGATGGATGAAGTTTGCAAGGGGTACATGTTATGAAAGGGAGAATGGTGTAGGCATTGACAGTTGTGAAAGTGAGAATGGTGGCGGCATGGAATTGTGCAAATATGACATTGGGGTCAAGATGAAATATTGTTGAGGTGACTAAAAGTTCATTTCGCCATCAACCATATTACTATTGCTATTTCTTGGTCTCTTACTTGTGTTTGATGTGGCACCAGATTGCATGTGCATCAACGTTAATCGATAATTTGTAATTCGAAACAATTGCAAATCTGAAGCAAACAAAAGAATATACCTTTGCTTTCTTCGATGCCATTTCCTCATGTCAATTTCAGATCCAGTGTGCTTCTGCTTGCAGCTTTTGATAAATCAATACGTAATATGATGTGAAATGAAAATACTTCCAAACTTTATTTTTTGGTCACGAGCTCTTTTCATTGACATTTTATCCAATCCATTATCCCACGCGACCATATTTCATCATCTATAGTAAGGTCTGCCACCTGTGCAAAATCCTTTGACATCTCTTTGTATCTCAATTGTGCAAGAGTGCTAACTAATCCATTGTAGTTTACTACAACCCTTGTGTGTGCTCTACTAACATATCTCCTCAATCTGCGTAGTATGGTCCTATCCGGAATATGTGCGACGTCATTCCAAATTAGCACTGCGATTGCATGCATGTAAAGTATTCTCCAAAATTCAAACAATTGGCAACTGTAAACAATTTAACATTTATGTCTTACGAATAAGATGAGGAATTTTTTCTCCTATGAAGGCCCTTATACATTGTATGCCGTATCAATAGTTATTCAGATGTGGATATGACGTCGCAAAAAACCATTCCTGTAAACTCTTCCTGAACTTCCCTGAATTTAGTAATGGTGTACATTGGGCGATAATGTTACTCCATTTCAAATTGTGTTGCATGCGGTACCATTTGGAAAAATGACTTGAAATTAGCTGGAACTCCTTCTCAACCTTATTTCTTAGGACACGTTTCTAATTGTTCGACAAACTGCTTCAACAAAGTCTTCGAATGCACATACCCATCGAAGAACACATTCATACTCTCACTACTCTATGTTATTGATATCCCTACTTAGAAAGTGGTTTTAAAAAAGCAAGGAACCCATTGCCCTGTGTTCTCGTATAATCTTGACAACCAATCATTTTCATGTAAGCCATGGGTATCAATTATCTTTGTCCAACTGTCTTCAAATTCTTGACTGGACTGTGAATTATACACCAATTCGTGTATATCTCCAAATATCGAACCCTTATTGACGCGTCCAAACTTCTCTGGCAGCTTCATCAAAATATTCTACAAACACCATCTATACTTCGTATTTGGAAAAATATGCTTGTATTACTGCTGCATCTCCTTCTCCAAGTCGTAGTTGCCCCACTCTTTCGATATAGTTCCAACAATCATTTTCAATACAAGTCATGCTCTCATGTCCACCTAGTTTTACAACTGCAGAGTTTTAACTTTTATGCAACTGGATCCCAGCTAAATCAGTCACTTGAAGCTTCCATTTCTCATGTGCACTCAAATGTCGGTTGCATCGATATAAACCTGGACTTAAAAGGACTTACTTCATGACTGTGGTCGAGATGGACAGCGTAAATTCTCCTGTTTCCAAGAATATCTGAAGATGCAGATATCCTGAATTTACAACCCATCTTAAATGTTGGTTACGGCTTTAATGAACCGCTAGTATTACCACTTATTCGGCTTTCACGATAACATGTCAACGTCGTATATCTCAATATTCCATCGTTCCCATTTTTGAATTCATTTTCTTTACTAAAAAACCAACGACATAATCTTTTTTTTTTTAGAACTCATACATATATGTTTCATCTTTAAATAACATATCCACCTCAGACACATTTACACTATCTCCCTCCGATGTTTCACATTTGACCACGTTCACGAACTCCTTAACATTTTCATTATCAAATTTCACCAACACATCATCATGTTCGTCTTGCACGTCGTCCATACTCTACAAATTAAATAACAATGAAATTAGTTTCCACAAAATTTTAAATGACTAATCAAAGACATCTTTCAAATATAGTACAATTTTTTTCACAATAAAACGGTCACTATATTATCAAGAGGAAAGATAGAACTTAGTTCCTAACTACAATTAATCTGCATTACATACAAATTTGAGAATCAATATTTTCAAACCAGGAAAAAACATTTGCTCATAAAAATAATGAGGTGAAACCAAAAACTTGAAATCTTAAACAAACAAAAACGGATAAGAAAACCTTGTCTTCCCTCGAACGAGTGTGAAATGGAGTTAGTCCTAAGAAATTTGAGGGACAATATAAGTGGTTTAAAGTTGGAAATCCGACAACTTAAGCAAAAGTAGGAAGATATGGAAACACAAAGTCACCTTCAAAGAACATATTGAAAATAACCAAATGTAAGTTGAAAAAATTGCTCATGTTATTGGTCAAAGCATTGGATGAAATTTTTGTGAGGAATGAAAGGGATCTTATTAACTGTTAATGTATATACATATATACACAATGTACGTGTTAGTTAGTCACACATTGATTAGAAAGTAAAATATTCCTATTAAGTTAAACTTTAAATAAGATACCTCTCTTGTAAACAAATTACATTATTCAATACAATTCTATT